TTAAGATCTGTGCATTTCACTGTATGTAAGTTTTACTTCAATTTTTTTAAAAGAGTGTCTATCTGAATATGCACATCATAAAGGCAGGAACTTTCTTTTGTTCACTGCTGTGTCTCAGGACCTAGCCAAGGGACAGGGCACTTAGCAGGAGCTCAATAAAGGAAGGAAAGGAAGCAGACCATGGAAATCATCTACATCAATGGTTGTCAAATGTGTAATGTAGACTCTGACTTTCAACCCTAGATGTAAAGGTATGTCTTGTATTTGAAACCTTATATTATTAATCCATTTCCTAGGTTACTAAGAATCCTTTTGATCAATTACAAGTGTTATGAAATAAGAAAATGTCCATTTCAATGAAAATTTTCTTACTCTAAACCTAAACTTTCCCAGTTTTTTTCATACTGCCTCCACTTTACGTGATTAGCCTCCAGGATTAAGGGATAAATTCGTTAAGTGATGAGTATGTGTCCATACAAAGTTATGCAATATTGTCGGTTAACATTTATCTTAGTCCATGTGGCCAGTATTAGCAGGAAGTTGAATATAGAGTCTCAGGAGAAAAGTCTGGGTTGGATAAACTGATTTTGTCTAGCACAGTCTGATACACAGTAGGCATCCAGTGAATGAGTAAATAAATGAAATGTAAATTTGGAAGCTCTGGCAAATGTAACTGAAGGTATATCCTACCAGTATTTTTCTATATCTGTGTATCTTTAAAAGCAGAATTAGGAATCAGTTTCATAATGTTCTTTGAAAATTATGTTTATTGCTATTTTATTTTTGAAAAATTAATATCACTTTGTAGTAGAATATTTAGAAAGTAGTTATGAAATGCCACCTTGTGACCAAAGACAGAAGTACAGCATTTCACACAAGAGAGAGTGGCCCAGAGAGGGGAAGCTTCTCAGCCAGTACCCTCAGAGGTCTAACACTTATACCAGGTTCTTCTCAGAAGTAAGATGGAACAGAATGCAAAGAACTGGAAGAGCCATCAGGCCCTATCTCAGCTAAAGAGATAGGAGAAACAGAATTATACTACTTTCACCTTTATGATCCTTTTCTAATTATAAAAAATCCATATGCTCATTGAAACAGTTAAAACTGGAAATACAGAGAACAAAGAGGAAGCTATAAATTTTCCATAATAATGCCATTTAGAAGTATTTTGATATTTCTCTTTAACTTCTGTGTGTGTGTGTGTGTGTGTGTGTGTGTGTGTGTGTGTTGCAGCTGGCTTTTTCATGAAACAGTATGATGGTCAGAAATACCTTTCCATGTCAGTGAGATGTTTCTACATCATATTTTGTAATTCATGAAAGAAAGACTTTCCTCATGATTTCAAATTTTAAGGCAGGTAGCTAAATAACATGGAAATGTAAAAAGGGAAATTTTCTCATTCTACAATTCACACATGCCACCAGAGTGCATAAATGCTGGAAATGTATATGGAATTCAATTATTTATTTTATAATTCTAAATGAATGACAGTTATTCCATTTAGTTTATGCACTATTTGCTTCTTTTATGCAAGGGATGAGGTTGAATGAAAGGAACAAGAATAGACTTTTGCTTTGGAAGGGTGATATGGAGTCAAGGAAGCACAGACTTTCTGAGTTTGTATTTGAGTATTATCTCAGCATCACCGGATGATGATGATGATGATGATGATTTTGATAATGATGATCAAAGATCTAACGTTCTATGAGGGCCTGTTGTAAGCCAGGAATTTCATAGTTTTCTGCACTTACTTCCCACAACAGTCTTGTGGGTTTATGTAGAGTCATACTCATTTTAGAGATGAATGGACCACTCTGGGCTCACACTTTTTATACATAGAGAATCCAATTCTAGCCACTGCTTTTCCATTATACTGGCCTCATTTTTCAGATGATAGGTTTCCAGGGCTTGCTCATTGATCATTAGAAATCTTCACAGTATGTGGCCTGTACCCAACAGGAATCCACTGAGTATTCACTCAATACCATCCCTTGATGATGATAATGACATTGATGATGATGATGATGATGATGATGATAACAGCAGTGATGGTGATGGAGAGGAAATTTCCTCTTTGGTCTAAGAGTTCCATTTCCAGAGAGCCCATGAATGGTCTAGTTTCAAAGATAGTAGGTGTCCTCCAAGAAAAAATGATAAGTGATTAATGCAATGTTACACGCTGTAAGGGAAAGAGCCCAGCTTGGAACCCAAGTTTTTTCTGACTCCAAGGCCATACACTTAACCACTTTGCCTTCCTAAACCCAAGAACTTGAATTTTATCTTCACCTTATTGCCCAACCAGTTTTTCAGGATATGAAAAATAAAAAGTGGTAATAATTCCTCAGATAACAGACCAAAAAAGCAACGGTAACAATTGTTTCCTCTACCATCAATGCCTTCAAATGCATCTTCATACCAACTTATGACTTAACTCCTCTGGCCCCCAAGTTGGGGGCTGAGCCCACAGTGCAAGGATGTTGTTCAAACAGGAGGTGACACCCCTTTTCTCCTGAACTGTAGGATCTACATACTCTTGTAAGCTTCCTTTACCTGGGGTTTCCTATATCCCTGAGCCAGGGCTGATACAGACATCAGAAGCACTGCACCAGACACACACAGTGTTATTGCAGAACCACACCAACAGGCCCAGACACAACCGAGGCCTTCTGGGAGTCTGAGCAAGCTGGATAGTAGGAGAATGATAGAGGTCTTGCCTGAAATCTATACCCATTTTCATCCCAATTGTTTTGGGAGCTACTTCACTGGACTCTGAAAGAAAAGTCAACCTCTTCAGCTTTATCTCCAAGTTACCTGGCCAAACCCAGTTCAGACAATTGCATAGACAAAGATGATCATAAACCAATGTTTCTGGTTATGAATCTTTGGGGCTTTATCTCATCCCATACACAAAGTTCCTTAAAAGAGAAGGGGAGAAGGAAGCAAAGGTAAACTGCTCTGATCTGCAATGAGGACAGATGTTGTCCTCCAAGTATGTCCAGGGCAGCCCAGCCATCATCTTAAGAGAGTCTGTGCCTGCTGCAGGCTGGAACAGAGAAATCATAGTCAGAGCCACCCTCAGGAGGAGTGACTTGGGTGAGCACAGCCAAGTCTACCTCAGTGACTACCTGAGCACAGCCCCTCTGAGAACCAGGAGAATGGATTTACCCTGTCTTGTAGAACTGGTGCAATGAGGACATAGTTCATCTCACTCCAACCAGAGTAGAGCCCAACTAGCATCCATCCAGCTGTTGCAACTTTGAAGAATAGTTTGGAGACATGAAGATCCCCCCAAATTATATCACAATGAAAAAATGAAAACAAAGCCAAAAAGCATAGGACTGGCTAACCATTTTGTGTGCTGATCACAAAAAGGGAACCTGAATATATTTAACTCATATTAGAAGGAGTGAATGCATGGCCAAACATGGTGTTCAGTCAAGAAAAAATGTATCTAATATTACATTTCTTCCCTTGTCTTTTTATCTTGTATTTCATTATTAAGGGGAATCTTTTAAATTTTATGTATAAATCTGTCAATATTTTCATAGTTCATACTTAAAAATATAAATACTGTTGTAGACCTCTCTGAATTTCAATAAAATTCATCCATATTGTCTCCTAATTATTTTAGGGTTCATATTTGAAACAATGTAAAGCATACTGTATATACCAGTCATCCTCATGCTTCAGTGTGTATCATAATCCCCTAGAGGAACTTGCTGTTACTTTTACAGCCCACTTCCAGTCAATGAGTCTTAGGTCAGCCCCAGAAATCATTATTTTAAAGATGCTCTCCAAGGTGATTCTAATGCAGGTGATTATGCAAGACTTTGAGAAAACATTTGGAGTGCAATCTACATCATGCATTTTCGTTTTGGAATTGCTTGCCATGATACTAGAGAAATAAAAAGATTTGTTGAAGACTATTGAGTCGATAGCAGAATTTGGACAACACCAGCTCCTTAGTAATAATCAAGAAATCAATTAAATATTAAAACATGATGTCTCAGTTAAACACAAGTATGTGAGGCTGTCAGGAAGAAAAGATAGTTTTTGTTCTGTAGGGGAAATAAAATTCTGAACATTTACATAGTAGCCTTTCTATTAGTGCATTTATACAGTTCAAGTCTTTTTTTCTTTTTTCACGTTTCAACTGGGGATGGGATGGGGTGAAGGAAACTATTCCCTTAGATCGGTTTCCTGCATTGTTTTGTGCAATTTATGCATATTCAGTCTTCTGAACCAGTAGGACGAGCCTGCCAGGCGCCTTCAGGGAGAGATTATCTCACAAGAGAAGGAAGACAAAACTTTAGTTAGTCCTTAGACCTAAAGCAGCAACTCTGACTACAGCACTTTTTTTACTCAAACTTATACCTTGGTCCTACTCCCAAAATAACCTCATCATGTCTGACTCCTAGTTAGAGGAAGGGTCCTGGGATTAAAAACAAAAGGAGCTGTTTTGCTAAAAACTCTGCAAGACACTGTGGCTCAAGCAATCCTAGAGCAGTCTCACCTGTGTTAAGGGTCACTCTAAAGCAGACAGGCTTCAGAAAAGAATGGAGGTTCAACCCAGTAAGGACTCCAGGAAATTGAGTGGGATTTGGCACCCAAGCACTCCAATGTGTCAGGAGCAGTGAGGGCCAGGAGAGAGTAAAGGACCCAGCAGAAGAGGTAGCAGTGCCCACCAGGCATGGCAGAACCCAGGGGAGGAGTGGGGTTCACTAGCAGATAACTGGCATGGAAGCCCCCAATGCCCTGCCTACTAGTGAACTTGTTCCTGAGCACAGGTAAGTCATGCCAGGGACCTCCCTCCAATAACTGATGTTCTGTAGTGGGTTGGGGTTCTGTATGCACAGGTGGGAATGAGTCTACTTGGCACAGCTCAGTGTTGCCTCATTTCTTCCTTATAGCAGCTCTGTGAGGCAAATGTTTTCCCCATGAAAAGACTGAGTCTAAGCAAGTGTATCTGCAATAATTGCCAGTTTTATTCCTCTGGCTAAGAGATCCAGAGGTAGTTTGAGGTTTACATATTTCTTTTAGTTATTCCATCAAGAATTTAGGTGCCCCCATTGCCCTTATAAGCTGGTTGCAAATTATTTGACTCTTACTTATAAAACTTTTATTCTTTTTGTGTGTGTGACATGTGTTCATGAAAAAATACATATAAGCAAAAAGAAAAAAGCTCACGCTACACAGAAATAAGCAGTTAAGTTTTTGATATATGTATGTATGTATACACACGCACACACACACACAATTTGGGATTTAATCCTACATATGTGAGCTGATACTAAATATACTGCTTTGTAACCGGTTATGATTTACTTTACAATATAGAATGAATATATTTTCATGCATATGTGTGAAACTTTCCAATTGAAAAACAGACCTGGAGAATGGGTCAAAATACAAAATCCAGTGAGATGCTGGTAACAAGGGAACTACCTAAAAAAAATTCCACCAGATGATTAAAATAAAACGAAAGTCAAAGATACATCAGAAAACGCTAACAGAAAGCAGGGGCCAGATTTAATATCAGACAAAAAAAGTCAAGGCCTAAAGCACACAGGATAAGGGCGGCTGCGTGAATGTCTTTGCTTCCAATGCATCATCACAAACTTGTTTCTTACTCTTCTTATCTCTTCCCTAAGCCTTTCCAACTCATCTACTCCTCTTATCATTTCTTCAGGGTCCAAATGCCTCACAGGAGTGTCCTCTTTAAACCCCTGGCCAGGTTGGGTCAGCCCTCCTCTAAGATTTCCTTCTGCTTCCTGGCTTACACCTTCTTCGGAAGGTTGAGGATTTCCTTCTGCCTCCTGTGGTACAGCTTCTGAAGGGCGGCCTGCCTCTGCCTTTGGCATGTTCTGTGGTTTTCCTTCATTTTCTTCACAAGACTTTTGCATGTTGAGTATTTTTCTGTTATTTCTTTTGAATAAATTAATTCTAGAAAACAAGGAAACAAAACTAGATGCCAGACAAATAGACCAGCCATAGTATGGGTTCCCATAGCGACTGGTCTCTTCTCTTTCAGGTCCCTAATATGTCTAAATTTTCCAACTAGAGAAGCCTAGGTCCTCAGGCTCAGAACTCCCCTGACTCCACCCCTTCCTCCACCTTCCTTCCCTCCCCGTTTCGCTCCAGCTCCATCTTCCCTTCTCCCGCTCCAGCCCACCATTTCCCAGCAGGCCCTGCTTACAGGCCTCTCCTAGCACACAAACGGAAGCAGCGCAGAAGCAATTAACCCTCTCCTTAGAGGCCTGTCTCCAATATTCCCGCCCTCCTGGGCTTTCCCAAGAGGTTCCAAACTCCCGCCACTCACCTGAGACCGGGTGGTGCAGTATCTGGCCTCCCCTCCCCCTTCCCGGTTTCTCCAACCTCCCCCGCCCCCGCCCCATTTCCGCTGCAGGCTCTGCAAAGGCCTCCGGCGCTTAATCCGGATGGGGAGAGGCTGTGGCGACCCCAGGATCTGCTTTGCTGTCATCCACACTCCCACTCCCGTCCACACCCGAAGGGACCTGAGGCAACCTTACACTGACCTGCAGGGATCCAGGGGATTTTCCTGCCTCTTCCCTCACTCGATCTGTGTCGCGTCCAAAGACCAAGAGTCCTGCAGAAGGACAGAAGTGCTTGCTGAGCAGGCCAGTATCTGAATCTCGGATCCTTTTCACGATTCTAGTCCTTGTTCATCTAAAGTTGTCCTCTCCTTCCTTTTAAGGCAACCCCGCCCTCCCTCCCCGGTGCCCCCCGGCTCCCTGCAGGCAGGGAGTGGAAGGCACATGTTATTTCCCAAATTGTTTCTGTTTGTCTAGGAACCCTCAATTGGTTAGCATTCTGCCTTTCCTCCCCCATCCCCCACCCCCACCAAAAAGCCCCAAATCTCCTGCAAAAAATGGGAGTTTGGCGGACGGTAATGTCAGGAAAACAGTGGCGACCCTGACTAGCTTTTGCTCTCTGGTTCCTAGACCTCAGGATCCCCAAGGCAGCGCCCGCTTTTATACTGACCTGAAAGGATCCGGGGCACTTTTCTCCTTCTCCAGCAATACGTAGCAGCTACTGGGAAACAGGCCCTGGACTATAAGGACTTCTGCACACGTAGACTCCTGGTCACGTGAGGGTCGCGTCATCAATGAGCTCCAGTCTTCAGTTACTCCTCCCATTTAACACTGCAGTCCGCCCCCTGCATTCCCTCCAGTTGATACTGTCAATCTTTTTTCGTATTTGCCAATCACAGACAATAGAACTGGTATCTTACTCTTGCAGTTGCTATTCGCCCTTCTTGGATTGCCAGGGAGGATCAGCTTTTAGGGGTTAATCGACCATTTCTCCTTCGTTTGGGAATTATCTCCTTCTCTCTCCTGCTTCAAATTCGCCCACCTCCTCTCCTCCGGGAAGACCTACAGTCCACCATTTCCCCTGGAGTCCTAACTAGCATTAAAACGGGCGAAGGTGGTAGATGGGGGAAGGTGGTGGGTAGAGGCGGCAGGAAAAGAATGTAGGAGTGAGAGTGTGGGATTTTTTTTACGACTTCTTTTGAATCTTTTAATGTTTTAAGTATGATATTAAATGATCATGATATTTTACAATGATACTTAAAAAAGATGCCTCATAGTCGATATTTGACACAATATGGAGGACAAGAGAGTTTTATCAATTTTTAAGACTTCGGAAAAATTTCGTAATGGCTACAAATAAAATGACAGTTCGCACAACATATTGATATGTTAGGAGAAAAAAATCTTATTAAAAGTGCACCTTTAAAAAAAACTGGCTCCCAGATTAATCTGTGGAAAGAAGCCCAGTTTTCTCTTGTTAACAATTTTATATAAATAATCAACTATTTTCTCTCTCTGGCTGAACTCAAGTTATCAAGTGTTAGAAGCCTGACTTTTTCATTGATGACTGATGGATGAATTCCGCTTGGGTTTCAAATAGACTTCAGACAGACCTCTTCTGTTCTCTAGGATCTGGTGCCTTGTTAATCAGATGAGTCCACAGAAAAGCCAGCTTTCCTCAGAGTGAACTTTATTTTGGAACTCAAATAGCTTTCATGCACTCAAACATTCAGAAAGGAGAGAGTTCCCTATATCTCACCATTTGGTCCCCTATATCTCACCATTTGGTGTGAGGCTTATTAGGTAGAATTTTCATTCATTCATAGCACTCTTAAGATATTCTGGTATCACTCACTTTGTTCCATTCAAAAAGAGAACTATCAACATGCATAATTGTTATGATCAGAAGCAGAGAGAACATCAGTGCTGCAAAAAAATATTAGTTAAAAGTGGAAAATGATACCCTAACAACTCATAATCTTGAGTACTTGAAGGTGTGTTGTTGCCAGAAATGGTATTCTGGCTAATGGAGTCAGCTGGGGAGTCAGGGAAAGGAGGAAGTAAGGAATCTTTTGCCTAGGATGGTCACAGGGGGATGAGGCAGCCAACAACAAAGCCTGCCATGGGAAAGAAAAGGTTCAAAAAATAAATATTTTTTTCAGGCTTAATGCTTCATAATTTATATTTAAGCATGAATAATTTATTCCACAGTTGAGGGATACATTTTCTATTATTCAAGAGAGAGTTTTCAATGTAAATATAGACAGTGAATTATAAAGATGTAATCATTAACTACGACCAAATGTTTCCATTCTTTCACATGTTAAATGTGTTTATTTATTTTAGAGAGAGCTAGAGAGACAGAGTGTGAGCAGGGGAGGGACAGAGAGAGGGAGACACAGAATCCGAAGCAGGCTCCAGGCTCTGAGCTGTCAGCACAGAGCCCAACACACCCACAAACCAAATTGTGAGATCATGACCTGAGCCAAAGTCCAAAGCTTAAACCGACTGAGCCACCCTGGTGCCCCATCAGATGTTACATTTAATGGGGGACAACTCAGATTTTTTAAAAAATATTATCATGCAATAAAATTGGCCCTTTTTTGTGTGGATAGTTCTATGAAGTTTAACAAAAGTATAGATTTATGTAATCATCACCACAACCAGGATACAGTTCAGTCACCCCTCCAAAAAACTCCCTTATGCTACCCTTTTGTAGTCATATCTTATCCCCATCCTTGAACTCTGGCAACCACTGGTCTATTCCCAATTCCTATAGTTTTGTCTTTTGCAAAATGTTATATAAAAGAAATCTACAATATATCACATTTAGAGACAGGCTTCTTTTACTCAGCAAAATGACCTGCAAAGTCATTTAAGCTATTTCATGTAGCACTGATAGTTCATTCTTTTCTTTTTGCTGAATAACTTTCTGTTATATGGATGTAACAGTTTATTTGTCCATTTACCTGCAGAACATTTAAGTTGTTCCTAGTTTTGAGTAATTATGAAGGGAGTTCCTATAAACATTTGTGTATAGGTTTAGGACATTATTGCCTCATGCCTGACTGTTAAGGGAACTCCTTCTCTGACCTATCTGCTTTCAGTGCCTCCTTCTCCCTTTCCAATTTACCTAGCACATTATCATCAAATTCAACTTTACTCTTCCTTATTTTTAGCTTGTTATTCTCCTGCTCGAAAGTCCTGGATGGCAACCCCACCATCAGAGAAATAAATCCTACTTTCCTCATCCTGACATTCAACATTGATCAGAATTTATTCTCAGGACCCATGTTCACAGCCTTGTCATACACTTCTCTACTGCATCAAAAGGAACTCTCATTCACTGTGCCCCAAGTATGCCTTCTTCTCTCTTTGTCATCAACATGCCATTTTCTTCCTCCTGATTGCCCTCTACTTCCTCCTAAATCCTGGTCCTGCTCATTCTTAGGAGCCGAGACTTCATCACCCAGCCTCTAAAGCCACCACAACTGGAAGTGATCTCTCCCTTCCCTCTCTATTCTACATACAGGGTTTGTACCTCTTATATTGCCCTTAGTGAAAGTTGCCTTGTACCTTTGCACTTTTCTGTGTATTTGGAGGGAAGGCATATCTAATCAGGCAGATCGTCAGATGTAGGTTGAAGATGGGGAGTGGGGGGGGGAGTGTCAGGCTTCAGGTTACATGCTGCTTGAGTGGCTCTTATAATTTTCAATGGTGCATCTCCCAAAAAACTCAGAGTTTCAGAAGGAGCTGTTTGCAGATTGACTCACAGATGAACCTTCTTTCTGTCTGCACAAAAAAAATGGAGCAGAAGTTTCATTGTCTCCTCCTCTGCTTATTCTCCTTACATGTAGTCTCAGCAACTTTGACACCATTTTTAAGGAAATATCGATAGAAAATATTGACCCTGTTTTCCTAAATACTGACGAGAGAGATCAGACACTCACTGGTGTACACTGACAGGAAGATCATACAGGTGTTTACCTTTATTCTTATCCCTGAGCAATTTCAGTGCATCAATATAATACGTAGCTACCTTCAAAATTAAATTAATCACAGTAGCTTTTAGATATAAGTAGATTTTTGAAACCAATATTACACTATATGTTAAATAACTAGAATCTAAATAAAAATTTGAAATAGAAAAATAAATATAAGTAGATACTTGAAGATAATAGCATTATATTAAAGTGAAAACTATTTTTAAAAAGGAATGAAAAATGTGCACATATTAATTTAACAATAAAGATGTGAGTTCTAGAAAGTAGATACCCTGAGCTTCTGACCTAATCAATGTCCTGTTTTCATGTACCAAGAGGACACTAGGGATGGCTGCAAAGCCCAAAGTCCTCCAAATGGTGTGAGGGCAGAAGAAATGAAGGTAGCATTTTACCAACCTGGAGCTCTTGTACAAGACTGTGATATCCAGAATATTGTTTTCTATGTTCCCTTTATTTATGTTTTTAATGTTTATTTGAGAGAGAGAGAGAGCATTAGTGGGGGTGGGGGGGGAAGAGAGACAGAGGGAGAGAGAGAGAGAGAGAGAGAGAGAGAGA